GCACCTTTCTTGTACTAAATTCATGTATTCATACATAAATCCACATTCATGGTTGACAGAAGTGCGTTTATGGTGTCGTCCTAATTCTTGGCAGCACACTTAAGCGATGTGTATCTGCTGCAAGTATGGACGTAAAGCAGATAATAGGCTTTATCAGGGCATGCATAGATCGATTGTTTCCTTTTAAGACTCCTACACATATTGAGGTTTATGACTGACAAAAATGTGTTTATGGTGTCGTCCTAATTCTTGGCAGCACACTTAAGAGATGTGTATCTGCTGTAAACATGGACGTATAGCAGATAGTAGGCTTTAGGAGGGCACATATAGAGTGTTTGTTTCCCTGAAAGACTCCTACATACATTGAGTTTTATGTAAAAACGACATCATTAGATAGTAGTCAAATGTCTTGTTTGGCTCTGATTGTTTTAACAAAAGAGTACTAAATTTTTCCCTACCCCATATTTTGTAGATGATTGGTGGTGAAGCTACCCCCAACAAATGACACATCATCAACTGGAAGCCATCAGGAGGAGCTACATAGAGATTTAGTATATTGTTGCATTGGGACTTCTTATTCCGCTTTGAATGTTTTTACCTACAAACTATTCTTGTAAACTTAAATACTTTTGAATGACTTTTGAGTTTCAATATCAAGAGATTATCCGGTCAATACATTCTTATTATTAATACTAGCATGAAATAGATTTATTTATTACTAGTATATTATGCACTAAAATAAGGGGACGTGAATTTCCTTGACACTTGTGTAGTTGTGTGTCACCAAAAACATTCCTTGACACGTACTATCCTCCGTCTCTTTTTAATCGCAACATGTTGAATTTTACACTATTTACGTGTTCTACTTTGACTACATTTTATATTATGATTTTATGAAAATTATTTTCTTAAAATTATATTGTTCAATTCATCTCATTACAAATTTTCAAAATCTAATTTTTAAATATTTTTTACTAATAGGGATTAAGATATAATTACGGTCAAAGATGTGCATTGGCAAATGTGAAATGTTGACCGTTGCAACTAAAAAAGAACGAAGGAAGTATAAAACATTGAGGACTTAGTAAATTTCTTGACACACTTATGTGTCACTAAAAGTGTCAAGGGATTTGCCAACACATGTGTTTGAGTGTGAAGAAAGGTTTTTCCTAACATCGTTCCCCGTGACACTTTTCATTTGTGTTGGCAAATCCTTCAAAGGGTCTATCTTGACACTTTTACTGTTTTTCTCGACACCTTTTGTGTGTCATAGAATGTCACTTTGCTTGTAGTGGATCAACATAACAGATGGAAAACTTTTTTTCTTGAAAAAATATTTATCATAAAACTTTTGTCAATTCGTGATAGATATATATAAAATCATATTATTAGATAAAGTTGTATTGAAGGATGAAATAAAAATTTTAATTATACGTAGTACTTAATTTTTTAACACAATAGTATTTTGATACAATGGTCTTAGTGGGTTCAAAACTAGACCTATAATCTATGTCCTTGAAATCGACATTGAAAATCTATTTTCAGTTAAAAATAATAATCTAAATAGACTAGACAGAATAATCCAGTTTAGGGGCGGAGCTAGGGCACTGGGCCGGACTAGATGGGTGCAAAGATATTTTTAAAAAACTTTTACACAGAATTGTTTACGTTTAAGATTAAAACATTTTTTAAAGTTGGGTGAGTCAGGGCCTACGTTGGTCCTCCCTAGATCCGCTCGACCAATTATGAACCTGACCCAAGCCATTCCTAAACATGCGGATGTGCCCCCTTCAGAAAACTTGGTCCATCACTGCATGGGTCACTACAACAAAGATAAAACTAAAACTCGAGGCATTTTACTTCACTTCTACCAACGGTACGTAATGTTTAGTTGTTTACTTCCTACTTATTTAGTCATTTCTTAATTTCAAAATGTCTAAATCCCTCTTTCTTTTAAAGATCTGGATTTATTAAGTTTTAATGGTTCCATTCTTGATTTCATAATGTCCAAATCAAATTGAAAACATAGGATGAAACTCGAATGTAATGAACAAATCAAGCCTAGATATCTCAGATGACCCTAGCCTAGCCTAGATATCCAAAACTTAGGGTATCAAAGGAACAGCCCTTTATGAGCCTAGCCTCTCTACACGCTTCAATTCTAAATCAAAGAGAGTTCAGAAGATATGATGTTTATAACAAATTAAGTAGAAGGAAGAAATATAATAACAAAGTTCACTCTGAAATAAATATCCAATGCACGCCGACTAATAGATATTGAGTATTACATTCACCCATATTGGTCAAATTTCTTTTTTGGTTGTCTTAATTTTTTTTTGTCATTTTCATTTAAAATAACAAATACTCATATTACGGTATGTGACTAAAGTTATTTTAAATTTTATGGGACGGAGTGAATATTATATTCCCATTTTCTCCCACCGTGCACAAAATGAGTGGTGTTCAATAAGCCACCAAGGCCAATTCAACATTAGGATATCATCATTTATATTCACTAAGACACCACATAGGCATATTGAATTGATGACATTCATATCCAAAATCTTTATTTTTTTTAACGATGGATAATACCCTCTAGTTAGGTCAACATGGAATATGCATGATGCCTTGAATTTTATTCTTCAAAAAAAGGACTTCATGACTTTGGGTTGTGCGTAATTGCCATTGCTCTATCAACGTTTAGTTTCCGATAATTGCTCTAAATTGCTGGCCTTACAAAATTACCATTAAAAATTAGTTTGTATCATCAATTAAGGGGTATCAAATTATCAACTAATTAAGGGGTACTGTGTTGTACATGAATTGTGGTGAACTTCCCTTTTTCTGTGGACTTTTAAAAAATCATAAACTTTCAAATTCATTTACTTTTTATGAATTGATCGATTTCATTGATAGATATACGGATGTTATTTGAATGATATTTATCAATTTTGTGGGAAATATAAGTTAAAACAAGAACACTGTTAACTAACATTCGATCACAAGTCTAAACACTATTATTACACAAAATGAGAAAATTCAATAAAGAATCTTAAATGAAACAGTTAAAATTCAACTAGTAATGAGGAATTAATTTTTCAAGTAGCTAACCAATTGGAAGGATAGAGCCAATTTCAGACTAGTGTTTGTTCACTAGTGAACAAGCCAATTGATTGTTTTGCTAGTTATTAGATGAAAATCATGCTCTAAATATTGTCCTATCATTATCCTTCAAATTATCATCCACTTAGCTTGCTTTAATTTCCTAAGTGCTTTATTTAACCAACTATCATTAAATTCGACCTACCTAGCGTACGAACTACGAACTGCTGTCGGAGGCCATGTTAACAAGACTCTCCCACAAATTACATTTACTAAAACTTCTTTTACACCATAATTTGTACTTTGGTAAGACAGTGATATAAAGGCAAACGTTTCTTACAAGTGATTTATTTGATACAGATAGAATAATTGTAAATTGAAGTGGTTTAAAATAGAGATATTACCCAAAATAGGACTAAAAGAGTTAGAAATTTCCAAAATAGGACTACCATGTTTTTATTCCCAAAATAGAACTAATTACTGACATGTTTTGGCAGTACCAGACTTCAAACATGGCAGTATTTTCGAAACTTGACAGCAATTACTCCTATTTTGGGAATAAAAACATGTCATTTCTGGCGTAATACTAATTAAGTGAATATAATATAAAAAAGTCCACTTATATTTTACTTTTTTTTTACAGAACAATTCTATTTTACTTATTTACTACGAATCATTTATCTTGTTAGGTAGGGTAATTTTTGAGATATATGCTTAGGGTTAAAAAAATATTATAGAAAACAAAGAAACAGTTAATATCACATTTGCCTCACCTGACTTTCAAATTTCTAGTTTCAAAATTGTCAAATTTATGCATAATCACCTATTTGGAAAAGACTAAATAAAGTGTGAATTGTATGGTCTAAATAAAGTTGTGTAAATGAGTGAAAGATGTTGGGAACTTCAAATTCTTTGGCAACAAATGAAAACTAGTTATATTGAGTTATATTGAGACAGACGTGGAAGAATGAAGTTTTTTGGGGGAAGAGTGACATAAAAGTGTTTTATTTTATTTATTTATTCATACGTTTATTCTTATTTCATTTCTTTTATATATACTACTTCCTCTGTCCACGAATTATCTTCAAACTTTTCTTTTTCGCACGTTCTAAAATTATCTTATCTTTCTCTTTTGACAAAGAATCTGTGGTTCACAACAATTCTTACACGTTTCTCTCTTATCTGTCGGGTCAAAAAGGGAGAGAAAACAGGGACGGGGAGTATATTTTTTGGAAGTTTCACTTTACGTACACCCTACTTTATTGAACAAATTGAACTTTGGGCAATTGGCCGGGCCGGCTCCATAAGAAATACAACCCCATGCGTTACAAATTACATATGTTAAACAAATTTATGACATTAAAATTAAATTAAATTAAATTCGAGATTTACAATCTCAAATTACAAATAAAATACGTACGTAGTATATATGTTTCAGATTAGCTCATTATTTCCTCATTGAGTCAACTTAGGCTTTTAATATAAACAAGACTACAGGTAAGTAATTATGTGATTGATTAATTAATGGTGACAACTCCAGTACTCATTTAATAAATGAGTTACGGTACCTACCATTCAATTGATTGGTCCACATCATGATATCGTTTTAATTTAAATTTAAATAATTCAACTGCAACATTCTCATTGGACTATGTGGATAAAAGTATGATACCTTATGGGAAGCATAAAATCTACCTTAATTATATGGTAGTTTCTATGGTACCCATAAGATACCATACATTTGTCCACATGGACCAATGAAAAGGTAGCAGTTGAATTATTTAAAGCTAAATTAAAACTGTAAAAGTGATGTGATCCAATCAAATGAATGCTAGGTATAGTACCCTCTGTCACCTAATTATATTCCAAATTTCTCTGTTTCGCTCTCAACCACTATAGTCAACTCAATCTCTGTTTCGCTCCCAAGTCTCTTCTGACGTTAACATTCATGCAAGCACGCTCAGTCGCTCAGCTCCCATATATATTCCGATCCCCTTCTTCTATCTAGCCCGCCGGCCGGCCGCATTCCGGCAGACAGTCAAAGAACATCAGTCATAACAGCAAATCGATCTTCTTCTAACAAATATGGCTTCTATGCACTTGTACTACTCTCTCATCTTTCATTTGGCTCTAATCTCCCCACCGGTAATAGGAGGAGCTCTAGAAGCTCCTCCACCTCCGCCGGAACTGGTGTTCAACTCTTTCGCGGCACTCATTATACTCTCCTTCATCGGTTTGGTTATAATCATTTGCTTCATCATCGCCATCTACGCTCGGTGCTGCACCACCGAGCGCAACATGGGTCTCGACCTCATTGAAGGCGACTCTCGGAGGCGGCGTAGACGCCTCCGCCGGTCTACGGCCTACGGGCTTGACCCGCATTTCATCGACACCTTCCCGACTTTCCTTTACTCCGACGTCAAAGGACTCAAGGTCGGCGGGAAGGGGCCGCCACTGGAATGCGTGGTGTGCTTGAACGAGTTCGAGGACGACGACTCGCTCCGCCTACTCCCCACATGCTCTCATGTGTTCCACCCGGTTTGCATCGACGCATGGCTTGCGACACACGTCACGTGCCCCGTTTGCCGCACGAATCTCCTTCCGACGGGCCCGGGGAGGAGGCGGATCACTTTACTGAGTCATAACCCGGCCATTGACTCGCCCGTCTATGAACAAGTTCATTACTCTGGCAACGGGGAGATAAACGGTGCCTTGCCCACCCCAACGGGAAGGTCGACGCCGAAACGGCATCGGATTATCACCGGGAAATTCTCCCGGTCTCACACAACCGGTCATCACTGTGACTCGCTGCTTCGACCGGGAGAAAATGTAGAGCGGTTCACGTTGAGAATACCGGAAGAGGTAAGAAACCGGTTGGTGAACGCCAGCCTGAGAAGAAATCGGAGTTATGCGGACTTGCCGGCTGGCGAAAGAAGTTGGAGGAAGGGGTATAGAAGTAAAAGCAGTGGGGCTGGTTTGGGAAGATCCATCAATGGAAAGTTGGGGTACACGCCACTGTTGTCAAGGGATGAGCGTGGCGGCAGAGGGGAGGAATTGACGGCGGTTCCGGTGAGTTTGATTAGGACCGTCAAGGCACCTCTTGATCGTTTCATCAGTGGGGCGGAAAACGATAGTGTTGAGGAACAATCTCTCAATCAACTTTTGCCCTCATGATAACCGGATTTAACAGAAATTTATTGCAATAATTTTGTAAATTTGTAGATGGGGTGTTATTAAATAATAATGAATTTGTCCATATGAAATACTACGTATTTGATTGAGATTGTGTCATTTAATTTCATCAAATATCTTATCGATTAATTATACTGTTCCTATTATGAAAATGTTTAACTGACACTAATGTATCAAGTATCTTACGGTTTGAAGAAATAATTCTTACACTCCCGAAAAGAAAGTTACGGGTTGGAATGTTATTTCAGTTCAATGATGTTAAGTCTAACATAGAACAAATACTAGAGTAGATTAGAGAGCACAACAAAATAATGACACATATGTTTTATAGAACAAATACTAGAGTAGCTTAGAGATCGAGCACAACAAAATGACGACACTAAGATGTTCTATAGAAAAATTCAGGTCAATTTGTATACCGATGAGAAAAGTTCCATGACAAAACAGGGGCACACTCATATACGTAGTATAAATTATGTACAGTTTTCATTAAAGAACATTGTTTAAGCAACTTGAATTTATACTTCGGTCAAGGATTTGATTTGAGTTATTGAGTCCAAAAAAAGTCCAGTAAAGTCGGTCCTGACCTAATGTTAGCAAAAAACGAAACATTGTTCAATGCGGCTTTCCTTTATGAGCTGGGCTGGGTGTATATAAAATGTGTACACTTTTTTTGTACACTCATCTGTCTCCCTCAGACAAGTTGTCTGTCCACAGATTTTGTGTACACGACGGATTTTTCTTCCTTTATACCTCTAGTTATAACTTTAATTTTAGCGGGCATACGTTCTAACAAAATGGTGCAATGTCATTTTTGTGGTGTAATATTCATTACATCAGTGTACCACATATTCAAATGTTATGTATTGTGTAAATTGGCACAATGTCCTTTAGATAAAAGAGATTAAAAAAATTAGCAAATATGTCAAATAAAACTTTAAGCGTGGAGTACCGTAAATACAATTATTCATACTCAGGTAGTCAGGTTTAACAGTACTTCAATGTCTAGAATATATATTTATATTCTCATTATTATCAATTAAAACCTGAGTGTGTATATAATACGGAGTAGATGACTATACAAATACGAAGTATTTCAGAGTATACAAATCAAGTTTAGTACTCCCAGACTGCCCAGAGGCCACTGGCCAGAGATGGAAAAAGAAAAAGATTGACACACTCCCAAAGTTTGAATAAAAACCATTGAAGGGCCATAAACAATGATGTTTTAGGTTACTTCTGCTTTAAGGATCATTATATTGTTCCTGTTTTCAATTAAGAACATGCACACACCACATGCTCGTTTTAGATCCGGTCAAAGACATGGAGATTAGGAGTTTGGATCTGGTCAAAGACATGGAGTAGAACATTATAAAGCCAATGATGGTTAGAAAATATCAAAGAAAACATGGCAAGATTGACAGTACAACCGGTACACTTTTAAATTGAAACATTACATTGTTTCCTAACTTTTGTCCAATATTCAACACCACTATGATCACTTACAAAGTTCATTTACCCATTTCTATTACAAAATTGATATATACTACGGAGTTCATGTATGTATATATATAGCACAATATTTTTAAATAAAGTTCATGTATGTATATATATAGCACAATATTTTTAAATAAAGTTCATGTATGTATATATAGTGATGGCCCGGTTCCCGGTCGGTGCGGGAACCGGCCCAACCCGCCACTGTGCGGGCCCGGACCGGCGGTTCCAGGCCTAGGCCCGGCCCGGCGGGCGGGTTGGGCGGGGCGGTTCCGGGCTACCCTATGCTTTAGTACCGGCCCGAGCGGGCCTAGGCCTCTTTTTTTTCAATGTTTTTTTTTGTTTTTCCCGGGTTGGGTTGGGTGTTTGGGGGGGGGGGGGGGTGAGGGGAGTCGGGGGTTAACTAGAAAACAAAAATATTTTTACTTACAAAGTTCATGTATGTATATACTACGTATAAAGAACAATATTTTTAAATAATTTATTTAGGCATTTAGCTGACTTCCCAATTGAATTTGCGGAGAACATGCTCACAAAATTTAATCAAAAAATTCCACCAGAAAGCCCCTCAAATGGGTTTGACCGGACGGCAATTTCAGTCAAGCCTTGACAAGCCAATCTAACCAGAGACACCGCCCATCCCATCCCGTTTGAGGGGCTTCCGCGCGTAATTTTTAATTAAATTTTACACAAAAACCCGTTTGAGGGACTTCCGGTTAAAAGCAAGACATTATACACAAAAAATAAAATATCACACGAACACATACATCATTTCATGAACGAAACCAACACTGATAATGTTAATTTATTGACAAATAGACAATTATTACTATACTTTTATTAATATTAAGAATGAAATAACAAAACTAAAGAAAATACATAGGTAGCTTTGATTAAAGTGCAAGCCCTTTTTATCATGAAAAGCATGTCTTTACTTTGTTAAAATTATTTCATAGTTTGTTTTTAAAAACATTTGCAAATATCTTTATGTTTCAAATAATAATATTTTTACCTTTGTTTTTAAAAAAGCAATTTGTATTTTGTAATAAATAAAATGAAAAATAAAAACCAGTATTGCACCAGAACCAGTAGCAATGGTTAAGGCCCCAATTCCCTAAATCACTTCTATATAATGCTATTGGCACCAAACTCTATACTTCTATAGCACAACCTCTTCTAATACATTGCATTCTCAAACCGAAACCAAAAACTCTTACCAGTATTTGTCAAATGAATAAACTTGTGGGATATAATACGCATAGGCCATAGAGCACTTTTAATGCGTACATTTACACTTTTATACACAACAGGTTCAGTTAACTGATACCCGCACAGTGAGAAGAGGGTAACAAAAACTTCACATTTTGAAGGCTCTAAGGAAAGAGTAAGATACCTATGAGGATTTGGTCACTCTAGTGGGATTTTAACGTCAGTAGCTCAGGAAGAAGGGCTGTTTTACAAATAACATAATGTAGAAAGACCCGCGGCCCCTAAATTTACCTCTACCACCCACATCTCAATGTGAGAACTGTTAAAATCAATGTTTGAACCACTGTTCCACACATCATTCCTATCCAGATGCCCTGAAAATAAGGAGGTTGTTAGAATCCCACACCGGACAAGTTTGAATCAATAAAGTGCTATGTTAAGATGTGGGCTACTCCTCCATTCAGGTTGACCTTTTAGGATGGAACTCCGGGTCTTAACAGAGGTTAAAAACTAGCCCAGCCAAAACCTAGTACAATCACACAAACTTTGCTTCCATGATCTTAAACATAGTAATTCATAATACATATACAATTACCTTCAATCCGAAATGGTAGAAGTATCCTAGGAATAGCCCTAATGGGATCCCAACGAGATAGTAACTTCCGATGTTTACATATGCCACCAGCGCCTGCCAACCAATTCCAACAGCTACTCCTGGAATTATGGTTGAGTCAGGCTATAAAAAGTATTGACTTAGAGCATCTCCAGTGGTTGGCTAATTGCCCTCATAGCTTGACTAGCCACGTAAGCTTTTGTAGCAAAATTGAAATACACTCCAATGGTTAGCTATAACTTTTTTCTCTTCATTTATTATTTATAATGCTATATTTAATATTCTCCTTGATCAAGCTAGTAGCTCATTTAGGCTAATTAGCTTTCTCAAGCAAAAGGAAGAGCAATCCTCCAAGAGTAAGCTATTAGCTTCAAAATTGCAAGCAAGTCCCTAAAAACAACCTTTGGAGATGCTCTTATGTGGCGAAAATGATTTTATTAAATAGCCCTATACCCCTTACCAAACAGGCCCTAAAAATTACAAGAAACTGGATTTTATGTTTTCTTGCCTGAGAGTATGGGTTGAATGCAGTTGATGAGAAGAGTAGTTGCTAACAAGAAAGAAAGGTCATGAACCATTTTTATAACAGCGGTGTTTGAGGTAAAGATCATAGCAAGCTTCTCAGGATATGCCATAATAATCAACCAAAACATGACGCCAATTATAAAAGAGTTCAATAATGACACTTTAGTTGCAAGTCTTGCTCCTTTTCTATTTCCTGCTCCTAGTTCAGTTGCCACACGAATCCTGTTAAGTAGAACATAAAATACATGTTACTTTAGTAAACATAAGTCCTGGCTTAATTTCCGTTTAATTATTGTTTACCTGCCTAATCAGATAGCTAGCATCAAATTCTGCTCAAGGAATAAAAAAGGATCGGTTTGGTAGCCAGCTCTGGCTTGTTCTGCTTTTAAGCAGAATAAGTAGCTTTTGCCCAACTTATATGGCATAAGTATATGTCGCCAACATTTTTTCTTTTTTAAAAGATTTCGGGAGATTCAACCATTTAAAAATGAAATGAAAGAATCTACCGTTACCAACATACCCTGTTGCAGCAAATAGTCCTAATGGAATCATGGATTCCCAACCGATGATAGTAACACTGTAGAACAAGGAACAATTTATTACCCACACCATAAAACCAAAACACATTTATGCTATGTTTGGCAAAATATGCTAATAAGTTAGCTGTCATATATTATTTTGTAAAAAATAGGTAACAAGTTGACAAGCTACTATAGAAATATAAAATGACATAGAAGGGTATATTTAAAAAATATTGAGGTTGAAATGAAACGACATACAAGATCTAACTAGCTTGTATGGAAACTACTCTGAAGCTTGGCTCAACCAAACAAAACTTATTTCAAAAAACTTTCTCAAGATGATATAATAGGTAGCATATAAACTACCTTGTGCTGTGCCAAACATAGTCTTAAATTAATTTAAGAAAAGAACACACTGACCAGACGGAGAGAGCGTCAATGGAAACATCAATATTCTTCATATAGCCTGAGACGATGATTAAAACTCTAAAGTAGAAATTCTCCAATCTGAAATGACAATAATTTATATTTCTTTTTCTGTCATGAGACAATATTCACACTACTGGAAGCACTGAGAGAGAAAGAGAAAGAAACACACGAGAGCATAACTCCAGAGGCCAAAGAAAGCTTAAAGAACTGCCAAAGACCAAAGATCCCTTGCCTAGAGAAACCAGTCCAAGAATGTGGGCATCCTCCAAAGACAATATAAGCCACAAGTCCAATAACAGAAGCCCACCATGAAATATCAAGAACAATAGCAGTTCCAACAATCCCAACTCTCAACGTATAAACAAAAACCCAGTTCAAAACTACGTGGAGTAGAAGTGTTCCACCACAAACCCAAGCGATCACCAAAGTCTTTAGTTGGCACTGCAGGAATCTCATCAATGTAAACTGAAAGGGAAAGCTCAAGTGCATAGGGATTAGCCATATCGCCACCTCACCGGTCAATTCAGCCACGTCATCTGACTGACCCAAGAGTTTAACTATGGGAGAGGCAAACATAAAAAGAGGCAACAAAGCAATAGAGCTCAAAGAGAGCAGAATACATGAGCGCTGCAAGTATATGCCCAGCATGTGATACTGCTTTGCTCCATAAGCTTGGCCACACAATGTTTCCATTGCACTTGCCATCCCAAGCTGGTTAATGTGAAAGGTACACATCAAAGCAGTATCAAATAAGAAGACTGCTAAATTTTGAGCACATATGTTTTGATTGAAAATTCCAAGGTGCAACACATTTCACATGGATAAATTAATGTGCAAGGTACACATCAAAGCAGTATCAATAAAGAAAACTGCTAAATTTTGAGTAGAGATGTTTTGATTGAAGATTCCAGTGTGTAACACGTTTCACATTGATACGATATTAAATTGGAGAATTTGACTTTGAACCCCACTTTTTTGGCTATATTGGACTTTGCACCCCATTTTCAGAAACATTAATGTATGCATCCTATCAGTCCAAACGTTGTTAAGGAATGAAGGTACAAAGTCAAATGATTTTATACTAAATACGGTGCACAGGACCGGCTATGGGTGGCAGGCACATAGGCATATGCCTAGGGCCTCATAATTGTGTGGGGCACCAAATTCAAAGAAAAAAACTACTGCTATGTTGATGTGCTCGGCTGTGTGTAGCAATTCTATGGCACCAATCAAATGGAAAATAGAAAAAAAAACATAAATTACAACTTGAAACCACGTGTGTGAACTGTGAGACGGTCAATGTACTGATGTAGAACGTCTTGTAAAAATTAATTCACAATTTTACAACTTGAAATTAATAATTTCAAAATTTATAATTATGCCTCAATCAATTCATGGATATTTCACCAGAGCCCTCGTATACAAGCACTACAAGCTAAAGGAAAATTCAAAACTAAACTAGAAAATCGAAGTGTTATAATTTTTGGATATAATGATGAACTTCTTTTCGTAATAAGTGCTTTTTTAATAAGAGGGGCTATTTTATATTCAGTTTAATTTCAAGTCGATTGAGAAATTGAAAAATTAAACTTGAATTATATTCCTTATTAAAATATACTCCGTACATATTAGTTTTTCCTATTAATTTTGTGTCACAAAATATATTTTTAAATTTATTCATTATAAATTATTATGTTCCTAATATTATGCATTATTGTGTGTTTGTGTGTGTGTGTATTAAATAGCTTGTTTTAATCACCTATAGTGTTGAAATATTTTTTATTTAATATAGTATTTACTATGACACCTTAAACCAAAGCAAAACAAATGGCTTTTAAAGATAAAACTAAGAAACAAAGAGATTAAGTTATACAAACATGTCTAAGTTTGTCCTAGAAACATAGAAATGTTTCAAAATTTTGTTAGTGTTTTTTAATTAGTGATCTACTACGTATAATTTAAGCATTAATTTTTTTTTCTTGTAATTTTTAATCAATGATTCTATTTATGATTTATTTCGTGTAAAACGAACGTCACTCTCGTATTATATCAGGTGTAATTCTAATTTTTGCCTTGGGCACCAATTTTTCAAAAAACGGCCCTGACAGTGCACATTAATGATTCTGAAAAATGAAGTGCACATTCATAAGGTATAATAGCACATTAGGCTCTCATAAGTAATACTACCTCTGTCCTGCTAAGAACTTCTTACTTTGACCTACACACATATTTAGTAAATAAATTTGACTTTAATGTAGAGTACACTATTTCGACACTGTTTGACACTGTTTTGCACTGTTTGAAACCGTTTTGATGTAGGATAACTTTTCATTTAAGGAAATGAGAAGATCATTTTGGGACAGCTAAAAAAGGAAAGCAAAAAGACAGGAGGGAGGAAGTATATTCTAATAAGCCAAAAGAATGAGCACACATACTTGGTAAACCTAGAGATTTCTCTGCTAAGTCAAAGGCCTGCCACTAATTTTTGAGGGCACATTTAATCATCTACAGTTCTACATTAATGAAGCATTCAGCTACCCTTCTTTATTTTTTTTGATCATTCAGCTACCCTTCTAAAAACACATTGCAGTATTCTTAGAAATTTGTAATCTAATGAAAAAAGCTTCTGGGAATTGAACATGGAGTATAACAATAAGTACAAAATATGAAACAGGAAACAACGGAAGTGTATTAATTCTTGGAGAGTGAGAATAGTTAAAGGACTAGGTTTTAGCTCAACATACCAATAAGCCAAAGGTGATGCCGATGAGCAGAGTGGTGACAATGGAGATGGCGGCGAGGTTGCCGTTTCCGAGGTGACCGGCGAATGACTGGGTGATGACGGTAAGAGAAAACATGGCCAGACGGCTGAAGATTGTGGGTCCGGCTATTTGCCATATCTTCTTCGATTCTCCCCATGTTTCATTCACCAATTTTGCTTCTTCTTCTTGGGACTGATTCCCTCTGGAACTTGAGATTAGCAGAGGATCGGTTGGCTCCATATTTTTGAATCGGTGGCACTATAAGCTGCCAGTCTGCCACTGTCGAGCATGGACACACGTTGACTTCATAAAAACTGGTGTGAGAATATTTGTTTTTGTGGAAACCAAATTGGACCATATGCAATTTGGGGTTTGATTTGAAATGGGATCATATGCAATTTGGGGTTTAATTTTGATAGTATTTCTTCAAAATCAAATCGAACCGAATCAAATTGAAACCAATAAAAATTACAAAGTAAATTAGTTCGAAATTAGTAAAACCTTCATATATTATCAAAAAGAGAATATTAACTACAAAAGTATGAAAATTCCAAAATAGGACTGTCATGTTTTTATTTCCAAAATATGAGTAATTACTTCCATGTTTTGGCAGTACCAAACTTCAAACATGGCAGTATTTTCCAAACATGGCAGTAGTTACTCCTATTTTGGGAATAAAAAACATGTCAGTCATATTTTGAAATTTTCAAACTGTTTTTGTCCTATTTCGAGAATTTTCTCTATTTAAAAACACAAATTCAAAGCTTCCAACCGAACAAAACGAACCAAACTGAAAAATAGTACTCAAATGATTTTTGTTTGATAATAATTCTTTCAACTCGTTTCAAATCGAATCGAAACCGATAAAAACCGAAATGAAGGTCTAAGGTTTCTCCAACTATGGTTTTGAATAAATATACATATACAAATTGAAGTTACGGAGATCCTCCATATTGATTAAAGATTAAAAAGCAGGGGTCCTGAAATAGGCTGAAACATGCATACAAAAACGTAATGTAGTGCTAATACCACAAGATTAAAGGAGTTTGGGATTGTTTGGGCTTTTTAAAAGTGATTTTTTAAGAGATTATTGGAAAAATGATTTATAGTAAAAGTAGGTAGTGTTTGGGGATAGAAATGATTTTATTAAAAGGTAAAAGTTGAAGTGTTTGAGAAAAAGTGATTTTGAATGGAGTATTTTGTTAAAGTTCAAAAATACCCTTCAAATATTAGTCCGAAAATAGGGTAGGAACTTCATTTCAGACCCTAATTGGAAGCCTTGTTTCAGAGAGAGGCATTGTGGCAGACGGCGATTCAACCCCCAACGGCAGAGTGTAGCGGCCGACATTAACAGTGGCCGGGATAGCGCCGATTTTTAACGGATGAAAGGTTCTCGCCTTCTTGGACGGATTTTGCTTGTTGGGGTAGGTGGAGGAGAACGGGAGTCTACTGTTGCGGCGGGGAGTCGACGGTGGAAGAGATTGTTTCTCTGGTCTTTGCTAATTTCTTCTTCCACACTCGACTTCTTCTAATCTTCTCTACCTCCTTGATTCATCAACGTAACAAATGCTTCCTTATATTCCCAACCCTTTGGTCACGACATGGATGGAGAAATCAGATGGGGGAGATGGAGAGCCTGGAGAAGAAAGATGGATAGGGGAGATTGATTTGTCAGGGGCAATTTAGGATTTCAGCAATAATTTAGATATAAAATTTATCCTCAAACTTTGAAATATTTACCAAATAACCTAGAAGCAAGTAAAAGCACCCCCCAAGGCTGCTTTCCACTTTTGACTTAGAAGTGATAAAAATAAGCGGAATTTCTCATTTGCAAACACCATTTTTGGCTTATTTGAGAAAAAAAGGCCAAAAGTGCTTTGGAGTAGTGTTTGCAAACACTCCCTGAGACATGCTCAAAATGGGTAGTTGTACACACTTATTTAAGAACAACTGTATAGTTATGGTTATGAATGTGTTTCTGTTTTTTTTCTCTCACTAAGAATCACTAATTTACTGAACAACATCAGTAGAATCTAGAATGTAAAAACAAGAACACAATGCTTTTGTTTGTTTAGAAGATAATGAATAACTCATTAATGAGATGAAAGCGCAAAAGTAATTCATATTTTATTCAATTCCTATCCCCAAACACATTTTAGAATGGTTTTACATTTTGTTTACTTATCTTTTGTACAATTACGGTGCAATCTCTGTCTTCTAAAATTATACTAGAATTAGAAGATACTAGGATATTTGGCATATAAGTAAGAAATATGTTAGAAAAAGCAAGAGGAAATTGCTTGGGAGTATAAGGAAGGAGGTTGGAGACAAAAGGAAGGTTCAGGGGAGACAAAAAGGAAGAAAAATATGATTCGGTCACACACTCGCTCGGCTATATCCAATACTCAATCAGGTATGATTTGATTCAGAGATCATACAAGATAAAACAAAGCAAGAGAATGTGGGAAAATCTGATTTTGTGCAAAACCGGGTTGAGTTTAGTTAAAACCCGATCAATTTTGACTCGATTTCAGCAATTTTTCGAGCTAGTGCCTAGGATACCCGGTCGGATATCCAACCCAACCACCTCATTTCTCTTATAAAAATACATCTTTCCCTCTCATTTTAGATACCGATCAATCCCTTCTATCCTAGAGAGTGTATTCTTGTAATTTAGGCAGGTACTCTTTTGATTTTGTAAGTTGTGAATTATTTTTTTAATCGTCCTATTTTGAATATTAATTACTTCCTTATTCATATTCTATATTGATATTTGAGCATTACAAAATGTTCAATTAGTTAATCATCATCATTACCCTAATGCCGCAAAGGCTCCCACCTACGGTGGGGTAAGGGGGGGAGGGTCGGATGTACGAAAGCATAGAGAAACTGTTTCCGGATGACCCATAGTGAAAAACGCGTGCAAAATTGCATGGACTGACTGCTGCTTCATAACAAAGAAGCGCAGACAGTTTAGTGAGGGTTTCATATTAATTATTACTAAAATCGATCGACGCATACATTTTTTTATTCGCTTGATCCGTTCAACAGTAGTAACTTTAATTTAGATTACTAATGCAAGCGTCTCATGGTTAATGATCTAAAGAGAGATTATTTATATTTATTAAACCGAATAAACGCTTGGGTTGATATTGTCAATCTCATTTGATTTCATCTAAAATTTTATTGCTATTATTGAATCAATATAAGGCGTTTGCTCTATTTGACTAAGTAGTAAGTTTTATTAATGACATGTATCGATGAATTGAAAATACTCAACGATTGAGTGTTCCAAAATCCAAATGGGTTAGAACCAGAATCAACGAACATTTCATTAAGTAGAAATTAACAAAACCAAGTTCTTATTCTCATTGATATTAAGGATGTTTTTACTTGTAATGTTTTCAGTCACAAATCAAATCAGATTTAAATAGACCAAATCAGACCAAACTTTCATAATTATGAAATATAGAGACCAAACATTTACTAGACCAGTTCAATCCAGACCAGCAAATTTCAATCCAAGTAAAAACATCTTAAATCACATAATTTATTCATATTAGTGTTAAAATATTTTTAAATTCAAACAATCTTAAAAATCCTTGTGAATACGAACCTTACTACAATATACTACCATATTAGTGCGAGTATTGATTTTATTTTGAGGCACACAAAGACTTTAGTGCCGTCAATGCTCAAGCTAATTTTGACACTAACTCGTTCGCTTGAGGTCCAATCTCAAGACGTTTCGCACCTCTCCAGAGTTATAAGCATTAATAGATGTCTTCAGCAAAAATGACATCAAATACAAATTGTACTTCATCTTTAGGGATATTAGGCTGATCTATCAAAAGCTGCTGGAAGAGACTTAAATCATTAGCCACACTGGGTTTAAAGGCAATTGTTGAAGTTGCAGATAACACGGAAGATTTAAGACAGTACTCTGATCGGTGCATCTCACAAAGAATACTAAGCCCATCTAAGCAATCTGCAAGACTTGGTTTGATGCCAATTCGTTTCTGCAACTGTTTCATAGTTGGTTGGGCCAGTCCAGATTTTACTTGCTGTCTACAAACACGAACAATCTTCTCTAAAGATAAAACAATGGAATGAAATTCTTCCAGTGTCTTGTTCATAGAAAAGAGAATTGTTTGCAGAGAATCCAACTGTTTTGCCAATACAGCATTTTCAATACCTTGAATGCATTTCAATGCACCATAGTTTTGGGAATTTTGAATCACCTGCAACCTCTGGATGATGGATGAGGCATTAGTAAATTGGGAAAGCAGTCTAGTTTGAAGCTCCTCCCACCTATCAGTCTCATCCTTCAATTTTCTGAACCTCTGCTGACATTTCTTAACAGTGGAATCCATACTCAAGTATTAGGGTTTGATAAGAAATATGTAGTATAAAACTTTGAATATTGGGTTTAGAGTCTGCGCTTCAGGAGTTCTCCCACTGATTACGCTGCACCAGGCTGGACAGTGAATTCGCTTCACAGAATCAGAGCTTGCAATCGGCTCTTCAAGCTTCTGCAATCCGCATCAGACTATATTTGGTTAGATTCATTTAAAACCAATCAGTAAGCCTTTAATATACGAAGTAGCTAATAAAACAGATCTGAAGCAAGATTATCTAATTCAGATTTTCAAGCCACGTCTAGCCTTTGTATAGTGGAATGACCAAATATGCTTATAATTCATTTGCCTAATGCAAATTTGCATTGACAACTTGGATCAGACTCTCAAGTTGCATGCGATGAAATAGTACCATAACATCAATAATCTGACTTCTATTTATATGATTATTTAAACACAACAAAAGTAAAAGAAAATACTGGTAATGTTTAGTGAAACATTAGAGGTATTACACCATTTTAAAGCAAATGTATATGTGTGGTGGAAAGTTAATGGAACAAATGGCACAAACGAAAGGTAGATGGATGACTATAGAGAGATCCACATGAGTCTACTGTGCAGAGAATCTAGGGTAAGTTAATGAAAGTAGAGGTGATTTATTATGGAAAGAGTAGTGAACTAGTGGATCTACATTAATTGTAAAAGGATGTGGCAGAGGTTATGGAAGATATATGCGTTTTTACATTTTTCTAGCATTTGGATAATGCTACCAATCAGTGAAGATGAACAATTTCGTTACATAACCCTCTTTTTACACAAGTAATATGGCATGTGATATCTAAGCACTTTTCTTTTAGAAAATATTTAAACAATTTCATTCGTTTTAAATATTTTAACATACAGTTCATGTTTTTTTTAAATCCATCATTTGCAATGGAGCCAAAGACTTACTATTTTTCAGCTTTAGAATATGATGGAATAAAGAAAAACGACTTACTAAACTGCCTGCGTTTCTCTGTGCTTTAGTATAAGGGTAAGACTTACGTACATCCGATCCCCCTTATTCCACCGTAGGTGGGAACCTTTGCGGCACTGGGGTAACGATGATGATGATTTATTTTAAAAAATCACAAAACACTAATATCTTCACTATGCGTTGCACAGGTGTAGGAACAACATAAAAGTTAATGTTATATGTAAAATATAAGATAGTAAAATAACATAGCCCGTATGATATAAGTAAATGAAACGTTCAGATGTGAACAAAACTACTACGGAGTATGCGCCACACACGTACAGACACAGCGGACAGATAGATACATAGGCAATAATTCTGTTGGAAATCATCATTCTTAAAGTGTGAACAGATGAAACACACGTACACACATACACGCTGTGGACAGAGATAGGGAACAGTTCTGTTGAAAATCATCATTCTTAAATTAAGAATGCGTGAAACGATAAAGATTGCAGTTCATTGGGATGATTCATGAAAATACACAGTGCAATTAGAACAACGTGCAAACTGCAAAACTCTTCCCAGCATGCCAAAATTATTCTACTGAAAAAAGAATCGGAAAAGCTTATAATTTTAGAAGTTATAGGATGGAAATCAATGCCCAAAAGAGTTGCTAATCCATGAGAAATGAAATAATATTAAATTACTCTTTCAGTACTTTCAATAACTGTGTTGTCATGTCTAAGTGTCATGGTAAAGTAGATTTACCAACCGCAACAACAGCAACAAAAAAAATCATGTACATGATAACCGTTTTAATGAACGGACACCAAGAGATGATTTTCTACTTCATGAACCAAGAAATACACAAACAAATGATGAAAGAAGGAAGTATTTAGTTGTATATGCAATTCAACTAATCTACACTAGCTTTTAGTCTTTTACATACTTCACAACTACTTACACAAAATGGATATAACCAATGTCCTATTATGTTTTGAGCGTATTTTCTGTTTAAATGACCTGACCCACCCACTAACATATACAGAGAGTATTTCAGGAAATAGAATTCAGTGATACCTAAGAAAATTTTAGTAAACTTAAATTTACTATAACTTATTTGAATTTTTTACTCCCACTTGTTTAATCTCAGTAATATGTAAGGGTTATTACCCAGCCTCCCTACTCCAGGGTACCCAAATAAACTCAAAAGCCCAGTGAATGTATATGAACAAATTAAAAACAGCAGTTTGTAAGACAAACGTTAAATAAGCCTAATTAGCTCATTTGATTTCAGCAATAAATGCGCTTTCCTACCCGCCCTTCTACTCCATGTTACCAGGGCTGGTCCTGAAATGTTTCAGGGCCTAGGGGCGAGTCTCTGTAATAGGCCTAATCTAAAACAAAAAATAGAAAAATCTTTTTTTTTATATCTAAACTAAGATGTAAAATAATAAGTTTTCAAAAAAATTATAATAAAGCAATGACCTTTATAATTCGTTGAATTACATAAGTAGAATCATAGTTATAGAATAAAAGATTAAAGAAAAAATTAAATTTCAGTACTCCACAATTCATGCAATCATTTATCGTTGAATTAAATAAGTAGAATCATAGTTACAATATATCCACACTCAACAGCCAACAAATGAACTAATTATTTATCAACTATTCATTCAATTATAAACATTAAACACCTAGGAATTGCAGAATTAATGAACCAATGAAATAATCAATCAAAGACTAAAAGAGTTGAGGAATGAGGAGGTGGGAGGAGTACTTGAAGCGTGATGCCTGAAAGTGAGAAGGGTCGATTGGCCGAAGCGCTGAATTGCAGGGTGACCGAGTGAGGCCAAGCAGGGGAAGTCGGGCTGAAGAGAGAAGACTGGAGTCTCCGTCTCCCTTCTGTAATTCGTGGGCTGGACAAAAATATTGATTTAGGGCTCAAAATCAGCCTAATAAAGGACATGTTTCAAACACATCTATTATCCTAAAAAAGACTAATTGTTTAGCAAACAAGATATTTTGGGTGATCTTCTAGTGGAGGCAGAGGTACACACAATTTGTACACACAATTTGTACACTTGTCTGTCCCTCACAGACAAGTGTAAGAAAACTGTTAAAGGTTGGATTATTAGTTTCCATCTAAGTAGCACCGGGACGGAAACGGAAACGGAAGCGGGGACGGAAACGGGGACGGGGAAACTCCAATCTCAAAATATCAAGATACGGGTACGGCGCGGAAACGTCGAAATAAAAATTAAAATTTTACTAATATAAACAAATATGTATTAAAGGTCTACAAAACTAAGAAATAAATAAACCAAACATTTGTCCTTTGTAGGGGTGGGCAAAAATACCGAACCGGCATGATACCGAACCGGACCGGCATGGTACCGGACCGATAAACAGGGTTTGAAACGGATCTCAAATTTTTTTGTCCCGAACCGGACCGAACCGGTTCCAAACAATGCCATGACCGGTTCTCATAAAATGAGAACCGGTACCGGACCGAACCGGACCGAAGTATGGTTTATTAAATTTGTATTACTATAGTTTATCTAAAATATCTTAATTACCTCATCCGTCCCAAATTGATTTGCATAGCCAACATTTTTTGTCAAAGTTAATGTTAAGTTCTTGATAATTAATACAATTATTAATAATTAAAATTTACGTATTTAGAAACCACATTAAAATATCTCTAAAGTTGCAAATTCCAAATTAAAATATACGAAGTATGGAGTAGTTTTTTGAAAGGCCAAATTAGAATATAATTAAAAAGTGAAATTCTAATTAAGTGAATAAAAAGAAATTGTTTGACCAAGAAAAGATTGACTTTGCAAATCAATTTGGAACAGGTAGTATGATATATGAAAATTGATAAATTGTGTGGATTTTTGGAGGATGGCTAAACTTTAATTTTTTCTTAAACGCCTGGAAAAAGTGGCATTGTTTGGTATTGGTATGGCATGGTACCGTCCCGTTTGAAAATGGACCGTACCGAACGGGTTTGGGTCTAAGACCGAACCGTACCGAACCGTTTTAATAGTAACGGTACGGGTACGGGTTCGGCCAAATATTGGACCGGACCGGACCGTGCCCACCCCTAGTCCTTTGTTATAATCTATACGGAGTATATACTACCATAAAAAATAAGGAGTCTTATTGCTATTACGGAGTAAATCTGAAGTGGAGAGTAGACTGATAAAGTGCGAATTCTAGACTACCGGTCTCTTCCCTCGCGTCAGACTGCCTTATTGCCAAGTTGCGGTCAACTATCACTCCTGAGTGGGAAATTGCTAAGCTCTCACCGTTACAACCAGAGTTGTAAAAACCGGACCGGAGAGCGACCCGGCCGAATGACAGGGTCACGGGTCAACCCGGACTCGGAGGGTCAACCCGGTCAACGCCGGAAAACCCGGTCAACATATAAGTTAAATTATTATTTACAATATACAAGTTTTAACAAAATATGAAATGTATTTTAAACGAAATGGACAATGAATATGTATGGTGCTATTTAAAAAAATTAAATATAATATAAATGCTTTCACTTATTAAAATAATAATAGTAAGTAGTGTTTATTAACAATGTTATTTATTTGTTATGATGATTATTAATTATGTACCAAGTAGTAAGGGTTGTAATGTATTGATTGAAACAAAATATTTCATAATTAGAGTTAAAGAACCAAATGTAACGACTTCCCAACACAGCACGTTGGTTTGGTGCCCGTATGATGAAGTTGTTGAGCAGGGTTCGATTCCCTGGCTTGACAAATTTTACAATTTCAGCCGGTCCAGTCACGGTCCGGTTTCGGCGGGTGAAACGGGTAAATGCGGGTTTGGGCACATTAACGGGTTGATTGGCTACCGGACCGGATTGGACTCCGGGTGACCGGGTTCCGGGTTGACCCGGCCGGTCCGGTCCGGTTCTATCAACATAATAGCTTATGTGCAACAGATTAAAGGGAGGGATTTCTTTTAAGGGAGATTCTATTCACAACCTCTATTTTCCTAAAGACAGCCCCCAAATTAAAATTAATAAATAAAATTGGTTTAGATATCTAATTTGCCCTCCTAGAAAGGCGTCCTCCGCCAGTGTTCTCTGCTTCGTGATATTTATGGACAACCGCCATCGCGAGCTATCTTGGACGCAAAGGAACTGACACCCCTTCCGCCCAACCATGGCAGTCCGAATTGGGCTTGCTCCGGACCATAATATGCTAATTGTTATCCATTATGAAGTACATGGCATCACTTGCAATGTGTATGACTCCTGGTCTTTTAACCTCTAATAATGCTAGTGCAAAATCTGGGAGGAGCTGAGAATGTATGGTGTATCTTTATTGGCCACCACAATTGCCCTTTAGACTTGATAGCCTCAGTTGTTCGGTTGACCGGATAACCACAATATTAAGAGCATCTTTGTCTTCTCTATTTGATATCAGAATTATTAAATTCAATTTGTGGGAATCCCAAGTCGATTTCTGGAGTTGAAGACGGAAGTTCTTGAAGCAAATAGCTGGATTGTAATAAGGATATAATAGGTATTATAAAAATGATTTTATTTTAATTCACACAATTCACACTACGTATTAATATTTTAAGAAATTCACAAATCACATTTGACATTCCATTCCTAATTTTCCATTTTAAAATTCAAAGCACACAAATGAATTGTGAATTTGTGACACACTAAGTCGCTAACACAAACGAAAATAACAAATACAATACTTAAATTAAACTAACAATTGTAAAAAAAAAGATAGAAAACATTACCTGGTTGTGTCTGGACACGAGTGCTCGAGAGAAGCAGCGTAGCTGCGTAGGCGAGCAGGAGCAGCAGAGGGGCGGGCGCCAGGCGGGCGGCCTCCGGCGTTGCGAGCGGCGGAGCGGGCGAGCAGTGGCCGGTCTGGAGTCTTGCGGGCTGCGGCGTGCGTTGAATGTCCGACTGAACTTTTTCATTTGGCCAGATTAGCAATGGACTGAACTTTTGCAATGGGCCAGATTGGCTCCGCACTGGGCCACAGTGCCACACTTCTTTTTCATTTGGCCAATTCTAACTTTTTTTTTTTACTATATATACTACTCCGTACATTGCTACGTACTACCTCCATTCTCTTTTAATTGCAACGTAGGACTTTTTGCACTATTCACACATTCTACTTTGACTATATTTTATTTATTAATATATTACAAATTAAATTTTTAGAAAATATTTTTAAATTCCTTTCATTTTAAATTTTCAAAATCTGAATTTTTTAATTTTTTTACTAATAAGAAATAAAAAAAAATTAACGGTCAAACTTGTGCATTGGCAAGCGTGAAAAGTGGACCGTTGCAATTAAAAAGGAACGGAGGAAGTATATAACACACACAAAAATACCCTGTGCCGGGAAAGCCCCCCTCCCCCGCCCCTAATGACCATTGCGTGTTTGATAAACTTATGAGTTATGAACCAATATTGTGATTTATCCTTAACATTTTGAATTTTTAACTATTTATGCTTATGGTGTACAACATATAAGTATGTTAAACTTATTTTATACTTGCATTTAAAGTTGAAATCTAAAATATGCAGGGGCGTAGACAGGGGGTGGCCAACCCTAGTCATGGCCCAATCCAAATTTTAAAAATGTCTAAATTTTTAGGATAAAAATTCCGAGTAAAATCTTTTCCAAAAATATTCTTTGTACCGGCCCAATTCGGCCTAGTGTCCTGACTCTGCCCCTGAAAATATGGACACTAAAGGATAAACATACAAGTGTCAAGACTAGAAATATATTCAATCTTGTATGATATGTGTGAGATGTCTTGATATTCAATGAGGTTTTCAGTATATGAATGTTAGTCTAACGAAAACCACATTCTCATTGCATTAACTGGATTCGAGAATATATTACCGGCATTGTAATCATACTTATTGACCGATTAAACTCTAATAAATGTATATGCGCGCGAATCTTGACGCCCTAGTGATCCTTATTCTCGTCTTAACCCATTATCATAGAAGAAAATCATGCACATTTATATCATTTGTATACCTTGTAATTAAATCCCGAACTTAAAAAAAATCCCGAACTTTACAATACCTACCATTTGCTTGTGTGAGTCAGCCCGGTATTTTAATTACCAGTTTTATTACTACGATCTGCACTTGCATATTTGCAACTTAAGCCCGATAAGCTCTGACTAGTCGTCGTCATGCGGGTAGAATGGATGACGGTGAAGTGCGACTTCAGGCTGGTCGTATCCCAACTCAAAGTGAGTTCGAAGTAAAGGAAGAGAGAATGGTGAAATACAAAAATGTTGTTTGGGAGATACCCAAATTTTTCAAGCAGGTGGAGCTTGTCTACTTTCTATGAAGTCAAAATGTGAATGCCGACATGCTCTCCCAGCTATCTCAGGATTGCCCCAATACATATCGAAAATTGTACGGATCAAGGAGATGACTACCTCAAGCATAGCTATCTCACCATCCATCAACATCCTTCCCCTGCATCACGCTACCTGGTGTTAGGTGGACAACCTTCTGCGCTACATAGTAAACGGAACATTGCCTCATCAAGAGGAGGAGGCAAGATTGGTCTGACGACAAGCTTTGGGCTATATCATCCTAGACGGGAAGTTATACAAGAGATCTTACAACAGAACCATGTTGAAGTGTCTGCGCCCATATGAGGCGGGCATGATCGTCTCCATCTCAACGGGGCGTGTGCTCAGCCCACCAGGGGGCCTGCACAATAATGATGAAGCTCTTTCTCTCGAGGTACTTTTGGCCCACGACAACGAAAGATTGTGCTTACTACACACGAGATGTGAGACAATGTCAGAAATTACAAAAGAGTCGAGGCTGAACGACGACGATGTACACGTTGATGAGCACAACTCTACCTATCAGCACCGCCCTACCATTCACTAGATGGGGCATCGACCTAGCTCGACCTAGTCCTGGACTCGATTCGGGCCACCCGGTCCGGGAACCGGCCCGGCCCGCTACTGTGCGAGATCGGACCGGCCCGGTGCTGCGGGCCCAAACTGGTCTAAGGCCCGGTTAGCTAGGAAAAGCGGGGCGGGCTCGGGTCAGTGAAAAGGAGGCCCGGCCCGATTCGGGCCAAATTGATTTTTTTTTTCTTTTTTTTTTTGGGTTCCACCCGGGTTGGGTTTGATGTTTAGGAGGGGTTTGGGGGGGGGGGGGGGGTCAGGGATACTTAGGAAAGCAAAAAAAAAAAAAACTGAGGCCTGGCCCGGACCGGACCCGGTAGCTACCCGGGCCGGTCCCGGGCCCAACTATTCAGAACCGGCGGCCTGCCCGGGCCTAGGCCCGGCCCGGACCTGACCGGGACCGAATCCAGCCCTAGCTCGACCACTGCCAACCTGGTTCGAAAGCCGAAAATTTGTCATTGTCGCGATGTATTACTTAACGAAATGGGTTGAGATCGAGTTACTCGCCAGCATCAGACGCCTCCGGTGTAAGAAATTCATATGAAAGAACACATTTTGTCGATTTGGGGTTCCGTAAAAGAATACATATTGGTAATCTTTTTGGTAAATGCTTTAAGAAACTAAATGGTGACACGCTTTTTGAATTGATAAATACTTATGGTGACACACTTTTGGGTAAATACTAACTAGTCTTTAAGAAACTAAAAGTCCAAATGTTTTTTGTTGAAATGAACAAGATGTATTGTATAAAAGAATACATATTGCTATTGGGAGGCTTTCGATAGAAGATTTGGCGGATTCAACCAAACACTTGGATGCATGGAGTGCAAGTACCATTGATCTTGGATCTTGTTCTCATATTCATTTCATGATTCATTTCATGATTCATTTCATGATGCTTTTCATTTCTCTTCCCACAATCACTCTCTTCGCTCTTTAAACATCATTTTGTCTAGTAAGATGAAATTAAACTTAGAACGTTCATGGGGAGAATATCATCGCAAAATAGGTTTTAGGTCTACAGACGTAAACGAATATCATTGTTGCTTTGTGTTTGGATCGAGGTCGTGTCTTAGACGAGTCATTTGAAGATGACTAGCATTTAATAATTTATCATTCTCGTTTCATTATATCACTTTTATTTTGTCAGTGTACACTTTATGTTGGGGTTCTTTTAGTATTGGTAGTTTGGTTGATTTATTGAAAAGTGTTATGTTATGGCCTTGAAGACCAAATATGACTTCAAGTCAGATTGATTCTCAGGGATTCAAATTACTCTCTTCATGTGTGGTCTCTACATATGAATCATATGATAGTTGACGTTGAACATGGCTTTGCAAAGCTTTGGACTTAGTCAGGACCTTGGTGTGTAGTTTATTTACCAAGGCTAACTACATTTCAATCCAGAACCAGAACTAAGAGTCTAAGACCGATAACTCTACAAAAGCAGTTCAGGTTACTTCGTAATAGGTCCAAACCCAAGTATACTTATCTGGTTCTGATTTTTACATTTTTAAAAAAAGCAACATGTAAATCTAATATAATTATATAATCAATAGAGAAATGATAGGATGAGTACATATTACATGAAAGAAGTATCATTCCAATGAAGGACACGCCCAAGTATCCAATACAACAAAAGAGGATTGGGGCCTGGGGCATACCAACCAACCATCAGCAATGTTCAACATATGTATATTCTGAAACATCATTGAAATACAAATGGGGAAAGTGTTGGACCAATGGATCATATGGAAGTTGAGAATGATTTGACCGTTCAGTTAAGCAGCAGCTCTCTTATCTTCATTCATAAACTCATTATTATTACCTTGCTTGTCAGATTAGGACATCCATCCTTTTTCATGTTCCTCATCATCCTCTCTGATGGCAAATTCTGTTGTTTTCTTGCTGCTCTAAACTTTCCATGGACCCAAAATCCTTGTTTTCCGCGGAGGTCTCGCATCTGCAATAGGTGCTACCAGTCCTGGTTTTCCATCATCAATTACTACATCAACTAGCCACTCGTACTCTTTTGCCTCCCAAGCACCCATAAAATTATCACGATCTGTATCCTCTTCAATCTGAAAGGGGGGTAGTGGTAGTAAAGATTGAAAAAATGGTATTTCATATGGAGTATAAGATATCTAAAATTGCATCTATCTTATCATGCATCCAAGTTAAAGCAAGACTTTCCAAATACTTTGTTATTTCAGTAAATAAAAATAAAATTACTATTATTTTTAACATAATCTTGGTCACTGTGGGAAAAATTTACATGCGTATATTGTGTTTATGAATAATTATAGCATTATATAAATTTTGAGAATATGATGATTAGATGACCAGTGCATATGGTGGAGCTCAGCTTCAGAAATGACATGAACTATAGCTTTTTGAACAAGCCAAGTACGAACAGTTCACACCCAGTGGCAGATCGTGTTCGAAACTAAAGTAAAGTTAAAAGTATCACAATAATCATATCTAATGCTATAATTCAATAATTGTATTTTTATCAATAAAAAAACTAGGGCTGGGTTCAGTTTGGGTCCTGAACCAATTCAGTATATCCCCAAACTGACCCGGTATTTCGATTCACAAATATACGACAACAGAAACCAAACCGGTTATTATAAAAACGGGTACCAATTTTTGGTACCCGATTTTTCGGTTCGGTTTACCTGAAACGTTCGGCTTATCCAAAACCGAAAGAAACCAACTGAATTTAATATATAAAACTTGAACTCAATATCATAAAGCCCATTGAGCTTGCCGAATACTTGAGCCCCATAAGCCTAACGACATTCATAGATATTTAAACGTATCTTAGCCTTCACTACATTGAGATTTTTGGAGCACGAAGCTATTCATTTACAGGTGTGTGAAAAGATAGAATGGGAAAGAAGAAACATTCTCAAAAACAAAAATTCCCACATCCTTGGGAATCAATCCCACAACTATCCTGTATGTAAAGGCACAAGCCATCCAACTACGCTACTCAAGAACATTGCTCAATACATACTCAGTTACATATTATACCTTATTGTGTGTCATTATTTAAAATTTTTTTCAAATT